AACTTTGTTTAAATATAATACAAGTTATATTTATATTCGACCAGTAACGAGAGATTTTCATCTAAAATGTTTATTTCTTAAATTAAAGATATTTCAAGCAAACGATAGCAATACTTCTTAAAACACTAATTTAAAATATTAGTGGTTATGTAATTCATAATTATTACAAATTACTTTGTGGTGTTACAGTTGTAATTAGTAAACTTGTGTGATTAATATTTGAGTATTTGATTATGAAAATATTAGTATTGTCCATATACATAAATAATTCGTATAGTTTGTTATTGTATATTATAACGAATATTAAACATTTATCAAACAGTTGTCTAAGTAACTTTAAGAATTATAACAAATTTAGTTATTCTTGTTCGCACAAAAATATAGTTGTTACTTATTTAACAATTATTTTAAATATATTAATATTTAATATAAACAGCATTGTTTCCTTTTACAAACAAATATGTATAATGTTATTAATCCTTTATTACTATCCAAGTACATATTGATATAAACTAAAATACAATGTAATTAATTCAACAGTACATTTTTTACTTTCATAAGGTTGGGCATGCATCAAAAATGTATTAAATATTATACAGAAATATTGGTTTATGCATAAAAAATAAATACTATATTTTTAACTTTTTAATGTATAAGAGTAAACATATTCAAATTTTAGTAACTTATCAAATGTGGTTTAATTTTAATTTTAATTATACTCTTTTAAACTTTTTAATTGACAATGGTGGTGTGTAAATTATTAACGTTATACGGTCACCGTGTAGTGTGTACTATCAATTAAAATGTAAGTATTGAAAGAACTTTTAAAATTTAATTAAAATTAAAATTTTAAGATGTATGTATATTATATATACGATATTACACATTATTATAATGGATGGCTGTAAATTCAAATTCAAAATTGATTAAAATCAAAATAATGTGTGCAACTGACCTTAGTTAATTATAATATTTCATTTTAAATGTTTGTTATAGATTTAAAAATTGCAAGCGCAAGTGTCTTAACTTTATTACCTACGTTTGCAAAATTTAAAAGTTGTAAGTGATCTGCTGATAAAAGATTTATTTAATTTGACGTTCTGACAGTCTATAGTTTGTGAATACTTTGATGCTTTTATTTCACTAAACGTTTGTTTAATATTTTTTTTAATAACTAAAAATGTATTTATACATTTATTGAATAGACTTTTTACATTTTTATATCAATTTACAAAAATCCATAGAAATTTTAACTAGGAATATATAATAAAATTATATTTTTAACTTATTTAATATTATATTACAAAAATAAATCAATTCAATTTACGTAGAATTTATTTTATTTTATATACGAATGCATATTATAAAACCGTATGACTTGCGCTGGTCACCATACAATTTTAACAACAGTACGAGAATTTAGTGGCATAATTTGAGATTTATTAATAGAGGTGCTAGCATTTAAGCAGGCTAAATTGTTTTCATTGTCAGGATTCTTTTTCTTCATTATAGTAAACACATATATTTTATGTATATGTGTAATATGTTTATTATAGTATGGTGTATGAATAGGGTTGAAGGGTTATATATTTAAAAGTTAGACGATTTCAAAATTGAGATCTTGGAAGTTAGAAATAGCTTTTGACATGCATACCAATGCTAACAATTATTAAATAATAATTATGCATATGTATAATATTTTATGCATTATAATTTTCATAATATATTTTAACTTTTATGCTTTGGCCGTGGGCGTATTTGTAAAGTATGCACTTTGCAGCAAGCTAATGAGATGCAGAAAAATAGGTGCGCTAATATGCCAAATTACACCTTGTTCCTACACCCTTCTGCCCAAAAATAGTGCTGCCTTTTCGATAGTTACGAATATTTGGGTATGGATACGGTTTAATATTTTTATCAAATAAATATCATACACCATTTATATGTATTTAATCAAAATAAATTAGGAGATATTTTGTATTTTAAAATCAAAGAAATATTGTTATTTTATATTTTTATAATAAAAAGAAGAAAAAAATGTATTGTGTCTCTAAATCCGTGGTTTAATCAACCAGTGCCTATCGTAAATAAGTTCGCCTTTCTTTTGTTCTTTTGAGTATACATTTAATCGCGATAATAATATTATCTACATTTTTTTTTAAATTCCGATAATATCGAAATTACATAATAATATAATATTATAACGATGGCCGTGGCAGTGTACCTACACAGTTTGTTGTGCAAACGAAATAAACCGTAATACAATTATGCAAAATCTCCTTTGAATTACACGTTCGCGGCGGTAAAACGTCCGTGAAATCCTTCAGATCCAATTGTGCGCCTTCTGCGAATTTAATGACTACCGCCGTAGTTGTCGTCGCATAAAACAAATGCATCATTATACGTTAGAACGCGGTAGGCCGCCGAGCGCAGACGGTCGAAACAAAACGTCAAATCAAAACCGAACGTCGCCGCCGCCACGTTTTTGCGGTCAACGCGAATTCATCGCTCGAAGTGCAGGTGTTCGGTGTCATTATATTACGACACTCTGAAAATCGGATTCGCGCGGAAAATAATTTACGAAATATCGCGATATTGTATAGCGTGCGGCCCATTACGATATAATGATATATTACTGTCATTTTTACGGGCCGAACGGCCTGACGGGCGGTACACTACGTTATCGGCGGCGATAAATCCTCGACAATTTCCAAATAACATTATTACTACGTAAACGCTTAATAATCGTTGCGTTGACGTCGTCGCCCAACGACAGCGCCGCGTCCCGTGGCCACCACGTCCGTCGTTGTTATTCGCTTGCGCGGCCACTCGTCATGACGAACGTCGTCCGAGCCGTTTGCGGAGCGGTCGCACTGCTCACGGCCACCTCGGTCGTCGGCCGCATGCCGCCCGTCGACGACCCGTGGCCGGTGGCGTTTCGCCGCGAAGCGCCGACCGTGATCGAAGTGTGCCGGATGACCGCCGTCGACTTGGTCCAACAGCCGTTCGCGCTGTCCGTGGTCGCGTTGGGGGCCACGCCCGCCGGGTTCCTGAGAGATGTGCACGACCTGGTCGGCGCGGCCGTACTGATGCACGCGCCGGCTGTGAACCGCCGCCCGGACGAGACGCGCGCCGACGACGGTGGCCGGACGGTGCTGGTGATCGTCAACGAGTGGCCGGTGGACGCCGTGCTCGGACTAATCGACGACGACACGGTGGCGGCCGCGTGGGACCAAAAGTCGCACTACGTCGTGTGGCTGACCCGGCCGGGCGTGGACGACCGGTCAGCGATCAAGACCCTGTTCCGGGTCGCTTGGAAACGGAAGTCCGTGGCCAACTTGGTGGTGATCGCGGACGCGGAAGCGTACACGTACAATCCGTTCAGGGGCGTGGTCGCCAAGCGGCCTTTGGACGTGGCCGGGCTGCGCGCGGTCGCCCGTCTGAGGATGACCGACCTGAACGGACATCCGGTCCGCATATGCATGTTCCCCACGCGGCTCAAGGCGGTTAAGCTGCCGGACGGCTCGTACGGGGGAATGGACGGCATCGTCGCGGCCACGCTGGCCAAACACATGAACTTCACACCCATCTACAGCGAGCCCAGCGACGGCAAAAAGTACGGCTGGGCCGAGACCAATTCTGAATCCGTTAGTTCCGAGTCGAATTCAGCGGCCGTCAACGATACCAGCACTGATTCGAACTTCACGTACACCGGCCTGTTGGGCGATCTGGTGTACAACAAGGCGGACATGGCGTTCAACGGAGTCTTTCTCAACGTAATAATTTCGCCTTGCATCAGCTACATTCGTATTTAGAGGACTCTATGAGTCTAAAGGTCACTATGTGTTGTGTCAGCTTTGTCTTACGAACGTATAACATAATATACTGTTATGAAAAATGTGTGTGCATTCGAATCGATTTAGCGTTTTTAGATTTAAACAACAGTATTGTAGAAGGAATTCGCTTATGATCAAATTCAAATGTACGGATATCAATAAAAACGTATGAGATGCCTTTGATGATATTATTACCTTTTAGTTGTATATAGGTAAAATTCCTTTTTTATTAAAAGCGATCGCACAGAAAATATTGTTTGAATATTGTTGATATTTGTAAGACGGAGACTACACATCACACATGTCTTCTTAAAGACGAATAATTCACAATGCACAGCGTGAACCGTGATTTTCGGGGGGAAAATATTTTGAAATTTATTTATTTTTTATTCTTTATTGCGATGAAATGACACGAATATTTATATTAATTTACTAAATGATAACTTATATGCTTTGAGAAAAATTAAGTTCTACTCCTAAACTACACGTAATCATACATATGCAAAACACTATGATATAACTGATTGTTTTTCAGAAATCACGATTCATGTTATAGCGGCTAAATGTAAAGTCACCATTTTTAATTTATTATAAACCCATGATTTAGATTTGTAAAGGCTCTAGAGTTATAGAAAGACCTACGTTTTTACATAAGACGCTGTATGCGGAGCCGTGAAATTCTATCCCTTCGTTATTATCTAACATCAAAAAAATTCCTACCATATTTTATAAACGAGTTTGATGTAGAAAATTATTTTTTTTCAAAACATTTATTTAAAGCTAAAGCTTTCATGTAGTTTTGTTAACAGAGTTATAATAAATAATTAATTTTTTTATCATCGGACTACCAGCTATCCTAATAGCGGCTCTTTTCAATTTGTAATTAATTATTTAAAATTTGAATCATATTCCCGGTTGAATATATGGCATAAATATAAAAATCAATATCTTAACTATTTTTAATATTATATGTGCAGTAGGTTAATTATGGCCTAATGGGTTACTGCGGTACTGTTTTGTTTCTTTTATCAATAAATTAAAAGTACAAATTACATACTAGCTGCAGTTAGTGTCCTGAAATAAAATTAACGTAAAAAATATAAAAGTGTAAAATTTTACATGGAATTTGAAATATTTCGATTCGACATACTATTCTAAACTTCTATGGGAATACCAATATTGGACAAACTCGAGTTGGATCCCAGATTTCAAAAACAGTATGAGTTGAGTCCCGATTTATTTTATAGAGTAAATGAGTTGGGGCTATCCTATTTGCGTTACCCAAAAGACAACGCGTGGAGGTTGGTATTAGAATATCACCCAAAAATTATTTTGTTTTTGTTATGTTAAGATGTACGTATCAGTGGCGGATCTAGGGGAGGGGCACAGAGGCATGTGCCCCCCCTGTCAATTTTCTATCGACAATTTTTTTTTATGTTACTACGAGTAGTATCATATAAATATAAAATACAGTTGTAAATAAAAATAATACTACCTATTACCTGCTAGTAAAATCATTAACTAGGTACATTTAAACTGATAAAAGGAGTTACAGCTTAGTATCTTATCGATCTCTATTTATAACCATTAGGCCCGGAGCACACGTCTTGCGTTATCTTAACGCGTGACACCGCTGCGACGCCGCGACAACGACGTGGTATAGGTACTTACAATTTAATTTCGTACTGGCCGTATTGCACATAAGCACACAACACTGTTATAACAGTAATTTTTATAATATAATAATGTAATTGTGAAATTCCTACAGACGAAGGGCTACGCTTCAACGCTAAATGTAAGTTTATATTTTTAATTTCATAACAATACAACCAAAACCGCCACTATTAATAGTGTAATTAAAGCTTAGTGTAATTGTGACAAACCATTTATTAACTTATTGAAGTATGATTTTTTTCATAAGCGCTGATTAATCGCATATTTTTACGTTTATATTTATTTTCTATTGACGCTTATACATCTTATATGTATTCAAGTTTTGGACGATAGGCAGCGTCGTCCATACTGTAAAATATACTAATATTTTGGGTAGTTTATTTCTATTTTTTAAAATTAACTGCGTGTACGCTCGTCGTTGTCGGCTGCTAATCTACGATTAGTACCCACGAGCCGCCACGTTACCTACCTACCTATATTATTTGTAAATTGTTAGGTATTTGTCATATAATATGTTCTGTTAATCATACCTATAGAAAACTACCGGGTTATTAATTTAAAAATATAGCTTAACCAAATTGTAATTTTCTTTCATACATTCTTTATCTTTATTTGTATTTTTTAGATTTATTTTTATTTGGGATTAAAACTTATAATACGTATAAATCCAAATCATGAAGAAGAAACGTCAGAATACAAATATATTAATGTTTTAAAAAAAAAAAAACAAAATTAGATGATAATATTGTAAACAAAAAGTCTGAAAATGAAATTATACCCCAAAATGAAGACGATCAATCTAACTCAATTCATTCCACTGCTACTGAAATTTCAAATACAAGAGATATTGGCAACTATGTAGGTTTTAAATTTAATAAAATAAAAGACGACGAACTTTATGATATTCTACGTGATCCGTGGGTTCCACATGAAAATTTTATTTTTCCTCTAATTTCTTAAGGAGATAAAAATCGTTCCTTTAAACTTCACTGGATACATGAGTATCCCTGGTTGTCTTATAGCCAAAAACTCGGAGGAGCTTTTTGTAGAATATGTGTTTTATTTGGAAGCGATGAGGGAAGTCGTAGTCGTGTAAAACTAGGAAAATTAGTTACAATACCATTATCTCTTTACAAAAAAGCAAAAGAAAATTTTAAGGCCCATCAAAATAATGACTACCATAAGAATTGTGTTTTTAAATCTGATAATTTCATAAGTGTTATGAATGGAAAAATACAAAATATAGAAACAACATTAGACACTGCTATGACACGTAAAGTTGAACAAAATAGGCAAAAATTAATCCCTATTATTGAAACCATACTATTTTGTGGCCTACAAAATATATCCTTACGCGGTCATAGAGATGATGGTTCTATATATTTTGTTGATGACAATATCAAAAATCAAAAAGGAAATTTTAAGGCTTTATTAGAATTTCGTATTAATGCTGGAGATCAAATTCTAAAAGAGCATTTCAAATCTGCAACAAAAAATACTACCTTTATTAGTAAGACGACACAAAATGATTTAATTGATTGCTGTGGAAATGTTATAAGTGAAAAAATAATTCAAAAAGTTCATATTTCAAAATTTTATAGTATTTTAGCTGATAAGACGACTGACGTAAGTATTTCTGAACAATTTTCATTTTGTGTTCGGTATTTTGATTCGAACACATGCTCAATACGGGAACATTTTCTTAGATTCACAAAGGTTGAACATTTAACTGGTGAATATTTAGCTGACACCATTATACAAATATTAAAAGAAAAAAATTTAGATCTTGCTCTGCTTCGAGGACAAGGATATGATGGTGCCGCGAATATGAGTGGTGCGTTTAAAGGAGTACAATCTCGAATTGCAAGTTTACAGCCTCTTGCATTTTATACTCATTGTGCCAACCACAGATTAAATTTAATGCTCAGTAAAGCAAGCACTGTACCTTCAATTCGCAACACAGTCGGAATAATAACAAATATTTATAACTTCTTAAGGGAATCTGCTTTAAGAACTCAACTTTTGAGTGAAAAAATTTCAGAACTTTTTCCGCATCAAAAAGCAGTAAAAGCTAAAAAGTTGTGTGAAACACGCTGGGTCGAAAGACATGATGGAATTTTACATTTTTTGGAAATATTACCAGCTATAATAGTTACATTAAACGAATTAAGCCTTAGCAACCATACAGGAAGCAATGCACAATCCCTATCTGCAGCTATTTGTAAATTTGAATTTTTGATTTCCTTAAAAATATTAACGAAATTTTTAGCTATAACACTTCCACTTCCAATGCTGTTACAGAGTATTAATATTGACTATACACAATCGATAGAAATGATCAACAATGTTAAAAATGTATTAACTACAATAAGAGAAAATTCAAAAACGGAATTTAAAAACATTTTTGAAGAAACAACAATAATTGCAGGAAAAATGGACGTTGATATAAGGATTCCAAGAGTAACAAAAACGCAATGTCATCGTGCAAATGCTAGGCCCCAATCAACTGATTTATCTGAATTCTACCACGTTAACTATTTTCTACCTTATTTGGATTATCTTATGTTAGAACTAAATTCACGTTTTAATAAAAATAATGATTCAGTTATTTCTAATTTAAAATTAATCATTCCTAAATATTATTTTACTAATTAAACTTCAGACGATAAAATATTGAATGCGGCTCAGACATATGAAGCAGATTTACCTCATAGTATTGAAGCACTACGCGGCGAGTTAAATTTATGGAAACAATTTTGGAAAAATAAACCAGAAAAGGCTGATTCTTCAATGGAAGCTTTTAAATATGCATCTATGTTTCCTAATATGAAATATCTTTTAACAATTCTTAGTGTGATACCTATAACAACAACAAGTGCTGAAAGGTCATTTAGTTCTTTAAAAAGAATTAAAACTTACCTACGATCGACAATGGGCCAGGAAAGACTTAACGGCTTAGCAATGTTGCATATAAATAAAGATATTCAAGTAAAACCAAGAGAAGTACTTGATGTGTTTGCTAAAAAACATAAACGAAAACTTCAATTCGACCTATGAGGCAATATGAGAACCTATAAAAATATTTTTACTTATTTATTTATTAATGACTAACCACTAACATATATGTATAAATTATTATTATATTGTGTGTGATATTATGTAATCAACATTATTATTATCATTATTATTATTATTACCAATTTTGTTTAAAAATAAGAGTATGTATTATTAATTATATTATCAAAGAATCATTATACAATTTATATGTGCCCCCCCCCCCTATAAAAATATCCAAGATCCGTCCCTGATACGTATACTAGATTAATTTTAAAAAAATTAAAAATATTATATATTATTTATTAATAAATATATGTGTTATAATAAATATAAGCTAAGGCAGTGTTTTCCAATCTATGGGTCGCGCCAGTCGCGACCTATAATTAAAATATTTATAAAAATAATTTTTTTTTTTCAAAAAATTTGGAAAACACTGAGATAAGAAATAAATTTAAAGACACTTATTTTACAAAATTTAATCGTGTCAATTCTCCACTATTAAAAGATAGCATCTTTTCTCTTAAAAAATTTTCTTTTTCTACCGTTTTTTTTGATTGGCTGCATGTCTGAGATTCGAAGTGATACATAAATTTCACTTTAAATCCCAAGTAAGTCCAGGGGGGGTAGTACCTCGTCTTGTCCCCTTAATAGGTGCCCATTATTGGCAAGTTACGTTGAACTCAATTCGAGTATTATCAAATAATACCGTGGACCTAACTCGTGTTTTTTTTAAGGAATCAAATATCTCGGGACCCAACTCGCGTTTTTCCCCAGTATTGTATTTGGTACCTTTATATAGGTAGGTACATTTTTACTTCTATTAACATTCTTGAAAAATATTTAAATGGAGTCTATGCTAAAGTTAATGAAACATTTAACTATAAGTACTTGGTAGATTTGATAAACTATAAAGAGCGTGTTTCCAATTGTTTATGAAGAATTTCTCATCTCATCACTCTCTAAATGTATTTGAAAGGTTATATTAATCAACACAAACGTAGTGATAACAATAATTGTTCTCAAAAAAAAAAAAAAATAAATATTATTAAATATTATTTGATTATTTGTGTTAATAAAAGTATTGTTAATAAGTTATTGAATAGATTTTTTTTCAAAACCGCCTGTATGTTTAAATTCGTTAATTTTTTTTTTTTTTTTTATTCAAGGCATATGAATCCAACAACACGATACAATACACGACACCAGTGATGTTCGATGAGCTGTGTTTCGTCGTGCCCAAGGCGCAACAGATGAGTCAATGGCGTGCGATATTTACAGCATTCGACGTACGGCTTTGGTACTGTTTAGCCGGTTCGTTTGTCGTAGCTCTGGGTGCGTGGACTCTCATACGACGTACGACAAATACACCATACTCGCTCACACTTCTAGCCATAAACGTGTTCAGAGTTTTCTTAATGGTACCGCTCAATCGTGTGCCAAACAACTTTTCCGAACGTCTAATGGTCGTGTCCACCGTTCTGTTTGGGTTCATCATGGCTACCAGTCTGCAAGCGGTCATGGTCAAGTATCTGAGCTACCCAAAATACGAAAGGGATGTTGCCACTGTGCAAGAACTATACGACACCGGCATGCCAGTCCTTTCGGCTTCCAACAACCTTATATTGCTCTTTGAGACTGACGAAAGACCGGTGTACGAAAAGATGTCAGATCGATTTGTAATCATCAAAAATAAGTCTTTGGACATACTCGGTGTAGTGGCAAGCAAACGGGTAATCATTGTGACATATTATTATTATTATTATTATTATTATTATTACTATAATTATCGAAATTCGTCACGTCACGAAATCTATATTAATTTAGTCGATTTTAAATTGAACATGACGTATATAGTGTAGAAGTAATATTCAAAATATGATGATTAAATATAGTATTATTATATAAATTATTAAACTAATCGTTAAAAAAAAAAAATTAAACGATAAAAGAATTCAAGAATAAACAATCATTCAGGTTTTTTAAAAACAAAAAGGTTTATTCATTTCGAATAGTTGAGTTGGAAAAGAAGTCGACAAAACAAACGCATTGAGTAGGTACTTGGGTATTTTATGAAATAAATAATATATCGATGCGAGTGTATGTACTTGACTTAATGAGATAAGATTTCGAATATATTTATATACTAAAGGTCAATAAGAGATGACGGGAATTTTAGTGGGATACCTACCTAGCTTTTCAATAAGATCCACTTTAAGTATTCTTAAATCTTATAAACGGATTTTTCGAAATAATCGGCTTTTAAAACAATGTCGTAAAATATAATGTTGAGTCAAAATGTATTCCAAAACTTTCGACTAAAAAGTAAACTACATATACACGTTATATAAAATAACAATGACAATGAATTTGCGTAACGGGCGATCGATGGTAATTAATCGCTTTCGTTTGATGACAATATGCAAATGAACCTTTCAGTAAAACAATAATAATAGTTCACACAATATATATTGATGAGTGTATGTGACATATGTATATGATATGATGCGGGCGCGTGCAATCATGCGCGTTGCAGATAAAACTTGATGCATAATCTTAATATAACGACATGTGAGCACAATTCGACAGTATAAGACGTTACGAAACATTCATAAAATGCGCCTTGTTTCCGAACGAACGTGATTTTCCGATGTACTCTAACGGTTGACTTGGCGCGTCGACGAGGTGCAAAGGATGTAAAATATTTTCGAACGGATTGATTTTTTTCCCTTTTATTTTTTACCAACGTCTTAGAGGTTAACCCTGATTTTGTGATGACGAATTTCGATGACAATAGTAACGCACCTGCAGAGATACCTCTGTGTCGTGATTTTTACGCACCGTCTAGTACACAACCAGTATGTAACAAGCGTATAATAATAATGTGTGTTTGTATTATTGTTCTTGTTTTCTTATATAACGCGCATCGTGGTGTCGCGATCGCGTTAAGACTTCGGCTGCGATCGGCAGGAAAAACGATCTGGTGGAAAAGATCGCCAGCTCGTACGTGGAAAACAATCAGGTGCTGCTGCACATCATGGACGAGTGCCCGAGGTCGTTCCACATCGTCTACCTGGTCCGCCGGGACGTGCCGTTCATAAAAGTCGTGGACCGCATAATCACCACGTTCGTGGAAAGCGGCATCGTCAACAGCTGGTTTGTGCACGCTAAACCTTTCCGGCCGATATCCGATTACCACCATCGGAAGGACCCGCACCAAGTGTTCACCTTCAAGAACGTGGTGATCGCGTTCATGTGCCTCGCGATCGGACTCATCGTCAGCACGATCGCCTTCGTCGCGGAATTCGTCCACTACCGCAGGTTCGCCGGTCCGGAAAATTCGCGCCCCGGCGCGGTGCGCGGCTATCCGAGTCGGAGAAATGAAGCTTTACTCGCCGCTGCCGCTGCTGAGTGGTTTTCGCCACGCAACTTGCGTGCATAAAATTATGCGTGTTCGACGCTGGATTACGAATCCTCGTGTACTGTGTGTTACCTGTGTGCAAAATTAATTCAATGTAGCGTTCACCGTCAGATACTCGCCCCGTTGATTGACGTTCAACCCTAGTGCGTTGTGTACGCGGGTCGATACCGCACTTGGTTAAATACGTATACATTCTATCACTATTGGGATTAGGTAGTTACGTAACTCCGCACGTCATCACGTAATTTATGGGTAACGTTGTAGTTATTTCGTACCTGTAACGAAAACCCCTGGTTGACAATTTTAAAATCGAAAATTATAAAATATAATGCGATGGCAAACTAATGTGAATACCTACTACAGGCGTAAGCACCGATAAAAAAACAAAAACTGAATCAAAATATCTAATTACTTATTGTATTTTGTTTATATAAGTATATAACACTGCAATGCAGTTTAATAGTAATTCACAACGTCACATTATTCGTTACTTCGAATTCGTGTAGGAATTTTGTCAGCAAAAATAGCTACGCAATTTTTTAACATAAATAATTTATTGGTGTATACGTCGTTGTACTTGTTATTATTATTTTTATCAATAAATCCGTTGGATCCAATCTAATATAGAGTTGTATTGTATTATGACATAATATTTTTTAAATCAATATACTTTAATTATGATTGAGCGTTATTAAGTAGAATTATTACTACCAATTACAAACAATAAATAAAATATATATGTACCATAATTAAAAACGGTAAGAACTGTGTAGATTGAAGTTTAAATTACTTTTAATTCAGTTTTTTAAATTATGTGCTTTTCAGATAGGATTAAAAATATTTTTTTAGGTTCAATAAGAATAATTTGAAAAGGAATATAAAATAAGAATAATTATAGTGACGACACACTAATCGTCCGCATTATGATCATAATAAATTATTTTAACCTAATATATTAATTATTTAATTACTTGGATTTTATTAGATTTTACACGTTTCTGTTATTGTTATATAATAATTAATATTATACAGCAACATTAACTTTTAACAGTTATAACGTGTAAGTGATAATTGTTTTGATAACCTTGTTCAACAAAATACGTAAATCTAAAGCTTAGCTTTTCCATACGCATCAACGGCAATAAATTGCAATGACTTAACGAACAATAATTATTATCATCACTTAAAGCAAAATAAAAAGTGTAATCAATACGCATACTAGTAATGTTTTTTACAAGTTCTATTTAGTTGTTTATCTGCAACAAACCAGTTTCTGCTTATTGTGGATTTATTCGTTGTTATTTCATTTTGAATTCACCACTATGACTTAGCAACTATTTATATCACATAATATCATAATGCTTTTACATATTATAATGTTTATGATGCTATCTGAATTTAAAGTTAATGAAGTTCATACAATCATACCACAGATGTTATAAAACTAGTAATTATAAATATTATTTAGATAACAACTGGTTCCTGTAGATTTCTTAAAACTATTAATGCTCATTATTGATAATTTATATCAAGCTTGGTTAAAAAATGTAAAAACTATATTGAATGCATAAGCACATTATATTATTTTGGAGACCGATAAATAAAATAAAATAAATATGTAATTTTTACTTATAATTTGCTATAATAGTATTCATAATCATTGTTATAGAAACATTAATTATGAAATATTTTAAGTCTGATGAATACTTTTAAAATATTAATTTTTAATAATTTATAAAGAGTAAAAATGGTTTTTTAGTTATTATAACTCATGTAATATTTTGTTTATAGTTTCATTGACAAATCAAATGTTTAGATAACATGACAATCAATTATTTTCAGTTGGTAAGTAAAATGATATTTTATGAAACGTTTGAAAAATAAAATTTTACGTTTTCTTTTCTTTTACCCCGCATAAAAAGGTTTTACTTCTTAATCAAAACTTTTGTATGATAAAAAAAAAAAACACGTAAAGCTTCTTTTTATGAGCCCATGTGTTTTTAATATCACCTACAATAAAGTTTAAAAGAGAGTGTTCACTTTGTGCAATCTGACCCCTATAGTTGGGTATATATATATAACACGGATACCGCACACAATATTTCTGCCGGTTTATCTCGTAAAACAGCCCTGAATATCCGATGAATATACATGTACTTACTCATAATCGCTCTTTGTAACTATGGTTACTAGTTAACTTTATCAACTAGCCGGTAAAGCATTTAACTTTGTCACAACATTATATACAACTTCTCAAAACTAATTGTGTACAAGTCATTAGGCGCATTGAAAATAGCGAGTCTGTTCTATTCCATTAATTTATGTTAGTTAAACTAAAATATAATTATTAAATAGACCATAATTTATGCTTAAATTAGACATCTTTTGAAATTATTATATTTTTTAGTGTCCAAGTTTAATATAATATTCATTTCTAATTTTGAATTGCTTACATAACCGAAGAATGTTGTAATGCGTTTGAACGAGGGGCATGTTATTATACAGTTTTTAAACATTAAACTATTACGTTCCTACAGTTAAAAATTTAAATGAAGATATTAATTAAATGTTTACACGAGGCATTATTAGCTCTATTAAATTTAATGCGTGTAAAATGTACAAGTACTACATTAATGTACATTATTTCGTGGTACAATTGTTTGTAATTCATTTAAATGATTTGATTTTTATAAACTCGAGGAGAGAGTATTTCAGTAATTTCATTAAAATGTTGTACACGTGTGATGTCCATTCTGTATGTTTAAATGTTGATTTTACATGCTAAACCCTTATCTGCAGGTCAAATCGATCATTACACATAGTCTGACAGGAAATAAACTTGTACATTTTTTTTTTTTTTTTGTTAATTTGTCTTAATTGAAAATTATAGCAGGTACATACTATATATATAACACTTTAAAAACCTATTTAATGCTTATCGTAACTTAAATATTGTAATAATACTAAAAATTAATAACCAACGTGATATCGTTTAGCTCGCACATTTTATTTTTATAAAAGATTAATGACCATTAAAAAAATATTTGAATATAAAGAAGATTAATAATTATAATAATTTTGAATTTGTAGTATAGAAGTGTACATAATTATTTTTCTTATTAAATATTAATTGTACATTACCAGACACAGTACACGGTTGAAAAAAAGTAATTAATGTCATGTTTATATCTTGAACACGAAAAAATGAGATTAAAAAGTTAATATTTCACTCGGGTAAAAAAGTAAATATAAATTTTAGAAAGTATTCTACGTATTATAATATATTGAATTGTTGTAAAAGAATAAATATTTATGTATTAGCTGGTAACCAGTATTAGTTATTATCAAATAATTTAAACAATACACAATAGTGACTTCTTTTGGATGAATATATACATGGTTTAAATTAATATATATATATTTAGAAAATTATTATATTATTGCTTTTTAAGTAGCAGGTATATAATAGAATGTGGTATAGATCATTTTAAGGATGACTTAAGAATGTATTTTTATAGTCTTACAGTATAAATAAAATCGCGGAATTGTGGAAATATTATATATTTCGTTCAAATGCGGCCAAACGTATGATGTATAATATTACGTTTGAATTAAAATAATTTTGGTCTGGATTATTATTGAAATGTTTAAGCATTAAACAGTATACCTACACAGTAAGTACACACACACACACATCATAAATGTGTGATGTACGGTAGTCCGCTGTGAGTTGATCATGATTGAAAATACCTTGAGAGACTTGAGTATCAAAATTAATTTCGCGACATATCTGATAGGGCTGTACACTGTATGCGTCTCACGTCTAAGATGACGTGAGGGTGGTTTGTCAGTGGTGGCGGTGGTGGTCGAATCCGGTACTCGGCGTAATGTTTCAGTGAATCGTTTTTCAAAAGTCCGTTCCGTCTCGCGGAAGAAACGACGGCGTCGACTCGGCCGGCGAAACACGCGCAACGGAACTTATATGAAATAACGTCTAGTGAAAATGTGACTGCCACCACAGCGGTCTACGCTTTATGTTTATGGGACTATACGCGGTTTTAATAAATAAAAATATTTAATATAGGTATGTACAAAGTTTCGTCGGCGAAGACTGCCATTAATCAACACACCGCAGCCACCACCGTTATAGAGATTACAACACTATATACTATATAATAATCGCGATGACGTTTCTCTCTTAACACGAATACGGTCCCAACGTTAAGTAATTATTATTATATCATATAGGTACCTATACAAGCGCGAGTGTGTGTGTGTGTAGGAGTGTGGGTTGGTGGGTGGTTGGTTGTGTGCAGGATACAGATCGAAACTGTTTGCTTTTGAAATGTTGCACAATGAGTAGACGTCGTTGTCGTTGTCGTCTTCATCGTGGCGTGTTATCCAGCAAAGAATAATGATGACAGTGAGGTGGCGACGGAGATATGCATTTATGGTGACGTGTGCAAGAGGAGAGAATAAGACAACTCGTATTCAGACATAAATAATCAGAAATTATAACCGCCACGTGCATAGTAATATAATATTGTACGTAGTCCACCGTTGCTTGTACATAATAATATTATTATTATATTTTGAAATCGCTACGTACACGTACACACGCGGGATGCGGTCGCAGTTGCCATGCGGGCTAATCAAAATCGGTTTGCGGAGATCGATCAATCGTCCAGGAGGACGTGCTGTGCGATGCAGAATTACTGGTCATTCATACTCCGTAGGCTCATTTTGTTTTTTTACTTTTTTATTTATTTTTTTCACATTTTAATTAATTCGTTTGTCACAGTGTCAATAATAATCATTGTTGGTTTGGGCGCGGACAACTAATTGAAAAATATAATACGGCGCGGCGACGTGGTTACTGTGACGTATGGCGCGGTGGTGATTAAATGATCGTTCAATAATTGAAATGCTAAGAGTTTAATTTTCTTTAATTGTTGGGGTTTTAAAACGCATTTTGTTTATTATTATTATTATTATTATTATTTTTTTTTTTTACATTGAAA